TGTGTTGGGAAGAGCGCCAGACGATACAGGGCGATTCTTCACACCGGACACCGCCAACTCACCAGACCTCTTGTCAGAATCACCAGCACAAGAACAGCAGAGTTGCGATTAGCAGCAGAGAAGGCATTCCTTGATTGGAACAACAACCAAAGATTGAGCAGAGCAAGGAATTCCAAACATCATCGTTTGTTGGATTTTACAGCAGGTGATTTGGTGTATATTTGGAGGAAACAGGTGACCGGAAAGGATGCACAACCAGTGAAAAGTACACATGGAAAGTTTGTTGGGCCAGCCCGGATCCTTGCTACAGAAAACCGGAGAGATGACCAGGGTCATCTAATTGCAGGATCCTCGGTATGGCTAGTCAGAGGCCGTAGATTGTTGAAATGTTGCCCAGAACAGTTGAGACATGCCTCCGAACGCGAGAAAATTGTAGATGAGTTGCATTCAGAAGAGTCCCAACCATGGAGCTTCCCGAGAGTAGCAGAAGAGTTGGGAGGAAATGACTATGAAGATTGGTCAGAACACCCAGAATTGCAGGAGACCCTCGGCATGAATGGCAACCACATGTTCGACAACGAGGCAAACGACCTATGCCACCAGACTACGAGGTAGACGTGTGTCCAGAAGGATCAGCCAGTAGCCGGTTGAGACGATCAGACGATTTTCATGAAGCTCCAGATGAGAACATGCTAGCACAAGGCTTGATTCCACCGTGTGGATTCCAGTCGGGAACAACATGGATTCAACAAGTCAAAGAGACAGCGTTTCTCACTGAAGAGGAAGAAAGTTTTTGGCAACAAGAGACAGCAGCAGTATCCATTGAGATTGACATGCCACAGACACGAGGAGCTTCAGAACGAGCTTTCAAGAGCCTGAGTGCTTTTCTGGTGTCAGCCATGAAAAGAAAGACCATAGAAGTCTCAGAAAAGCGAATGACCCCAGAAGAACGCATCGCCTTCCAGAAGGCAAAAGCAGTGGAGGTCTCCAACTTCATTGCCGCAAAGGCGTTTGAAGCATTGCCGAAAGGATACCGAGCTCGGAGAGAAGACGCAGTCAGGATGAGATGGATCCTCATCTGGAAGCATCTGCCAGATGGTGGCCGGAAGGCAAAGGCAAGAGCCGTGTTGCTTGGTTATCAGGACCCTATGTATGAAGGACGAGCAACTACGTCACCAACTACCACCAGGCAGACGAGACAGATACAGCTGACCATAGCGGCATCAAAGGGCTTCCAGACCCGCAAGGGTGATGTCACTGGAGCCTTTTTGCAGTCTCGAGAGTACCCAGATGAGTTGCTATGCATCCCATGTCCAGAGATTCTGGAGGCGATGGGATTAGCGCCAGAGACCATGACAAAAGTTCGAAAAGCATGTTATGGATTGGTTGATGCGCCACTCGAGTGGTACAGATCGATCAGTGAATATTTCCATACATTGGGACTCCGACGTTGTTGGTCAGACCCATGTTGCTGGACTTTTGTAGACAAGAACGAACTTCAGGGCATCATATCAGGACATGTCGATGATTTTGTCTTTTCAGGAAATGAAGATAACGCAGCCTGGAAGTCAGTCTTGGAGTCCATACAGAGACAATACAAATGGTCAGATTGGGAATGCAACCAGTTCACACAATGTGGCATCAAAGTGGAACGCTACGCAGATGGAACCTATGCACTTTCCCAAGAAGCATACATTGAAGAGCTGAAGTACATCAACATTCGAGCACATAGAAAACAAGACAAACACAGCGAAACCGATGACTGGGAGAAAGGACAACTTCGAACCTTGCTTGGAGGTGTCAGCTGGTTGGCACAACTGACAGCACCACACTTCTCAGCAGAGACTAGCTTATTGCTATCGGAAGTTTCACGTAGTACCGTAGAGACCCTGCATCGTGCAAACAAGCTGATGTGTCAAGTGAAGGCCATGAAAGACCACAAACTCTTGATCCCCAAACTCCGTTTGGATTCCCTGGGTTTGTTTGTTTGGTGTGACGCCGCAAACCAGAATCGAATTGATGGCAGTAGTACTCAAGGCTACATCATAGGTGCCTCACACCTCAGCATGCTCGAAGGAGCTTGTGAACATGTTTCCCCGATTGCTTGGAACTCATCCCGTATTCAACGGGTTTGCAGAAGCCCCGGAGCAAGTGAAGCAGCAGCAGCAGTAAATGCTGAAGATGCCTTGTATTTTGCAAGGTTTCAATGGTCCGAAATGCTAGGCAGGTCCATGAAGTTAAGACATGTGAACGAAGCCGTGAACACCGTTCCAGGTTGCTTGATAACCGACTCGAGAAACGTATATGATAAGATGAAGACTGAGGTCGTATGCACCCGAGGTACAGAGCGAAGAGTAGACATCGAGCTGATGAGTTTGAAACATGGCCAGCTAAGGAACGCAGTGGTTATTCGATGGGTACACAGCGACGCCCAATTGAGCAATTCGCTGACCAAGAACGAGCAGAGGCAGTTGCAGCTGTTCTACAAGATGCACCAGAAGTGGCGCATTGTCCAAGACACCAACATGGCATCCGCCAAGAAGAGGAAGGAACAGAACATAGACCCACTGACAAACAACATCACATCACAACATGAACCAGACAAGCAACAGAACGACAGTAACTAGAAGTCCCGGACCTGGAAACGCGCGGTTTCGTGGTTCGCTTGTGTTTTTCAAAGAGTACGCAGTGGCTTGATTGCATTTAAAGGGGACCCGGTGGCATGCAATGCGGGCATTGTGACAGTTAGCTGTCCAACCGCCACCAGTCAAGTGGATCAAAAGAAGCTGTCCAAGGGCCAGTTCGAAGTCGCACAGCCACTTCATAGGTAGTGCCCCGTAGGTTTCCTTGTCCTTTGGACTTGAGGTAGTCGTAGGCTGTGCTGACCGCTTACATATATATATTTTTAAATTTGATCAAGAGTCTACCTTATTCGTCTGGAGAATGAGGGGAATTTGTGAGGCTTGCTAGGGGTCTCCCTTCCTGATCCACAGATCTTCACAGTCTGGCTGAAGTCAGCAGGTCTCTATATAGTCAAAGGCATTTGGTATGGTGGATTTTTCTAGCCCGCCCCAAAAACGATCCGGGACGCCCAACAAAAAGCGCTACCCCAAAAACGAGACCCACCCCAAAGTGTCGAAACCTGAAAAACGACAGGGGCCACCAGCCAGGTCGCGCCTTTCAAAAGTGATCCACTGCCACAGGCGGGATGTGCTGTGGGTGAAGGTGCGTTCCGTGAAGCTGTTCACACAGTGATGTGCTCCAAATGGTCAGTTTGAGTAATGAAAACCATTTTAAGAGGCGACTCCTGGCCTGGAACGTCCAAGCTCGCTCCCGAGGCCCAAGCAGAGGAGCCGCATTATTTGCGACTTCACACGTCCACGCATGTCGGGGGAACCGAGTGTTCACTCGCTTCGGTGCAACCGAAGTCGCCAAAACTGCCCAACGGAACCGTGGGACTTCGGAGTTTGGTGCCTCCTTCCTATGCCAAATAGGGCGGCAACTGAGGTTCCACTGAACAGCTGCGAACCGTTTTGGTGGGCTTAAAGCTGTTTGGGGTCAATCTTTTGCACACTTTCACACACAACATCTTATGAAAACTTCAGCCAGCCCGTGAACATATTGTTTTCCAATCTTGAATCTTCTCAAGACTAAATCTGAGGTTCCTCACTTCTTGGGGAGTCAGGTAGAGGAATCTGATCATGAGCCAGTGAGTCAGAGTTGCTCGTGTTAGTTTTAGTCCTGGTGGAAGTATGTGGACATTGATTTTCAGAGTTTTAGTAGGACATTGGATCTCCATCTGCAAAAACCGGAGGACGGTTTTAGACGAAGGGACGCTTTCAAATGAAAAGGTTGACACGATCGGAGCAGATCGATTGTGACATGATTGGTCCAATCACGGGGACGACATAAATGCTGCACACAGCAGAGCGATCGTATGAAAGCACCCTCTTTGTAGAGTTGGACTGGGTGTCTACCGTATTTTCTTCCACCAATGGATGGTGACTTCCCTAACAGGGATCGACACGAACCTTTCGCTGAAGAAGAGCCCGTTGGAGCCATCGCTGCCAACGAGATAGTGTCCATTCAGGCACCCCAGAAGATAGCAAAGATCCGCAGAATGGACACACACCATGTTCATCCACCCCTTTCAAGAGGCTCTTCTGCACTGAGTCCGGTTCCGTGTCTGCCAAGGTCACAGCCCAGGTGGTCTTCCACCATGGGACCTTCATAGGCCGCCGGAACGGCCAGAACGGAAAGTCGTTCAGCACCGTCCAGAGACATGGAACATCGTGGTGACCATACGGGCTTCGTTTTGACTTGTTGTTACCCCACCTGGAGGTTCGATAGAATATTTTCTTTTGGGAGGCCATCGCTACTAGGAACGGCATCGCTACGAACGGAGCAAGAAGCTACTATACTAGCTCCTGGCATTACCACTAGTAACAAGAAGCTACTAGTTCACCAGTTACGTTTATGAGACGTGACTGACTGGACTCTCGGTACACGTTCTATTGGGCCCCGGCTTTGAACTACCTCAAAGCAGCCTAAAACCGGAAGGTACTGGGTAGGAGCAGAGGAGCTTACCCAAGAACCTTTTTTGGACCCAGACTCTCACAGGAAGATGGGAGTTTCGCTACGAAGAGGCCAAAAGAGGCGAAATCCCATGGATCGAAGAGGTGGATAGATATGGATAGCCGGAGGTATTTGGTTAGCCAAATGGCGAAGAGATCTTCAAGATCTTCTGGGATTTGACGAAGAAACAACGTGCGCACCGCAGCCGCTTTGAAGGCTTCCCGCTTTGGCTGCCCTGCTCCCAAGCAAATTGGGAGCTTGCGATGAAGACAGACATCAGTCGAAAATCCCCAAAGCACATTTCGATGATGGAACAGTGGTACGGATTGGAGGAAAAGGCCACCGCTGGACACATTTGATGCCACACTCCTACTATACTTGCAAAATAATACAGATTATGAGTCATTCAAGAAAACCATCAGGGTCTCATCCTCTCCCTCTCCCTCTCCCTCTTCCTGCTCGCTGCGGTCCTTTCGCCATGGTCTTCCTCACGGTCTCCGCGGGCTACACCTGCGCCGCGCTCCTCGCGGGCGCGGCCACCGCCGCCGAGCTGGGCGGCCGCGGCGGTCGCTCCGTGTTGGAGCGGGGGAAGACCGGCGACATCCGGGCGAGATAGGGGATGGTTCTTTTTTGGTCCAGCCCAAAGTGGGGTGAAGGTGCAAACTCTGATGCTTTGAAGGGTCGTGAGACATTTCGAACGACATTGCCTTCGCTTCCAGCAAATTGGTCGAAGATTGGAGGAAAAGAAACACTCTCGACTCTGTAATCTTTGTATTTGACCGCTTGATTGTAGCCGAAGCAGATGCAACCTGGGAGAACCAGAAGCAGCATCATTGCCTTTCAATTGGCATTGGGATTGCCAGGCAAAACCCAACTTTGGGATTGCTCTCTTGCGGCATTGAGGGGTTTGGAATTTTCGCTCTAGCCGTTTCGAGGAGCCACACACTAAAACATGATCTATATGTATACTGTAGAGCCATTTCTTCATATTTCACATGACCCTTCATTGAGGGTCTGCACAAGTCTGACCCCTCCTTCCGTTGGATGTACAGGTTGACCTAGTGTCGTCGGTGTAGTCTGGCTTCTTTGGTCAACACCCGCGTTGGATGGCACTGGCACCGCAAGATGACCGTTCCATGCTTCCATTGGTTGGCTCCACCCATCTTGGGGGGCCCTTGTTGACAGTGCCATCTAATCCAATCGCCCGGGCCCCTTGTCTTGTCACCCGCTTTCAACTGAAACCGCGGATCTCGCGCGCCGGATCTCGCGAGGGCTCTCCAAAGGTGTCCCTCCACGTTCGTTGGGACGTCGACGGGACGACCGAGTCCGGCGAGGACTTCTTGGGTCTGGGGCGCCGGCTCTCGCTGCTCCGCTCGGCGGAGAGGACGTTCCACTGCCACTTGGGATGGTGTGGGGGGTTGGAGCGGGGAAGATGGAGGTGGGATGAAAAAGATGAGAAGATATGGAGACTCTAGTAGCGTTCTTGTTCCTAGTAGCGATGCCCTTTGGCCCCTAGTAGCGTCCTTGCTCCTAGTAGTAAGGCCAGGAGCCCCTAGCGTTATGGAGACTCTAGAAAAGTGTTCAATTTTTTGGGGGGAGACAGGCTGGGGGTTGTGCTTCGGGTAGAATACGAAGGGGGAGAGAGAATATGAGACTGAGAAGACTGAGAAAGGTAAGCTTGTCCAACCGCATCAAATCCCCCATAATTTCTCAGTGCCAGGATCCAAGATGTTTGGGCTGTATGACGAGATTCTCTCCTGCAATGATGCAAAGATTAACTCAGACGAGCAATAACATGTGTTCCCAAGCGTGTTTCCCTTCCTTTCAATTCAGCCCGGCCAGGTGAAAGTGGGCGAGCTTGGCAACCTTTGTGTGTAGCAGGTATGCAGCATTTTATGTGTATGATCTTTGTCTCCAGCTGGTGGGGGGGCAAAAACACTGCACGCTTTGAATACAAGGAACTTCGACAGCAGGATATCATGCAAGATATTGTTCCATTATTTTCCATGGAGTGTTTCTTTTTTTCCCAATCAAGTCGTTGTCCTAACCGTGTCCTTTGCGTCCTTTCTCCTTGAAGCCGACCGGTCGTGGCACTATCACACCGGCGAACGCCGAGGTCAGCTGTGGAGTGGTTGCGCTTGGCGGCCCTGTGTGGTGGGGATGTCTGGAGATTTGCCACTTGGCTGTCTGAAAACACCTGGAGTGCCGCTGTTTGTAGGTCCACGAACCCCCGTCAAGTGCGTGGAGGCCCAACAAAAAAACATGGCCGGCCAGCGGAAAGGGAAAAGATCTGGTAAAACGCTGGAGCTGGACTCTGCAGCCATGTGCAACCATTGTGGCAACCATTTGGCTTTTGACATTCCAATGAATGAAGCCAGAGATGCATCGATGCATCCATTGGCACTGATAGGGTTCCCCAAGCCTGTTCACCTTTCCAGAAACGTTCACATCTTCGTAGATAACGCCAGCACTCCAACCACTACACCAGCGCTGTGAAACCGCGTCAGCACCGTCATTTGAGGTTGATGCTCAGCAGTCGCCTCGTCGAGGAGGCACGGCTCATGGAGAACGCCAAGGTCTCTGTTCAGGCGAGAGTGCGTCGAGGTGTTCGCCAACACGCGCAGGATTTCAGCCCGCGCGGACGCGTGCGCGGATGGCTGGTGGGTTGCTGTGATTTGGTATGGGCCATGGAGGGTTCACCTTTTGCCGCTGCAGCACTTTATACTAATCCGTCTTGGGCGAGTCGATGTCCAAAGAGCGGAGTCATCTTCGGGTCTTGGGCGGAGTCCGAAGATGGCGATCAGGGACTGCCGATCAGTTGGGGCTGGGGGGGGTCGATGGGACGGCATATATGGAGTGTCTAAGGGCTAAGACTGGCTAAGAAAGATGATGTGGAAGTGTCTCTGAAGCATCCATGACACTTAGCTCCAGGCAGATCCAGGTATCAACCCCAGCCTGATTGTGCTTTTGTTTAACTGCAAGGACAACCAATGTATCGAGGAAGTCATGCCCGGACGCTGTAATTCATACCCAACTTCAGACTCACTGAAATTGTCCAACCACGAAGCGAAGTCCCCATGCACAGAACCTCTATACCTGGACCCTCCAAAGTACCTTAGAAAATGGGACATGCCCCCATAAAAACAGGTACTTGTACCAATTTTCCGAGGTACTTTGACCAGGTACTCTCCTAAACAAAGTTCATCCAAGGACTATTCAGCAACCGCCTGTCCACTGGTTTGGCATTTTTGGACCCTACACCCATCAGAGACACTTCCCTCCCCGTGGACTGCACTCCAAACCGACCTTGTTGCGATCTTTGTGCACTTGAGGCCCAACAACTCCATTCATCCACCGTCCATCCCATCTATCCATCCCATCTACTCCAACCTTCTCGATCCTCAGTGCCACCTGGGAACTTCCGATCCTCAGGGGGTCAAGCCCGATTCGTGAGTTCGATCCCCCCCCCCTCTAAAGCCAAGGATCCGGTGCCGGTCTCGGGGCGCCTCTGGCATCATACTCTACCAGCGACGCTGTTTGGGTCACCGGACTACCCAACACCACTCTCCCGGATCGACAGTACACCCATGCCCAGGATGGTGGGGTCCTATAGGTCATCGTCCCATGGTACCTTGAGTCGCCACCGTATCCGATCCACTACTCTCCACCGACTCGACCCCTCCGCAGTCGTCGTCGTACCGTGGCGAAGCGCGTGGCACTCCCGGATCCATCAGGACGGCACCTATGCTTCGGTGGCGCTCGATCACTGCGACCCACTACAGTGCCCTGGTCCTGGTGTTTATACGGTGATTGGTTTCCCATGGTTTCCCTATACGGGTACACTCGACGGGTAAACCATGGTAAATCCTGTTCATACTTGGTGTTTTGTTTCGGTTTCTCAAGCAAATCCAAGAGTGCCTTCGAGAACTCGCTCGGCTCGATGCAAATGAGGGCCTCTCGATCTCTTGACAGGCCTGGTGATCGTCAAAACCAGGTCCATCGGTTCATTCTTGTTTGGAAGAGGCCAATTCGAGCCGATGGGGTTGTTGGCACGGTGAAGTTGTTTTCGTAGTTTTGAGCATCAGGGTGGAAGGCTGCAGGGTGGTGCATGGAGATTCAGTTTATTTGTGATCTTTCCCGAAGGACCTCAAGCACGCTGTAGCTGCCACGTACTTTCTGTGCGGGCTGTGTCTTGTTTCGTTGCAACTGTTTTTCTTTTTAGGAAAGACAGCTCTTGATTCTTGGTTCGGTGCCTAATTTGCTGTCTATAGTGAATCCATCCAATCCTAGCCTATGACCCAACTTCACCGCCCAGTGTGAAGTTCGCGCCCAACTCCGCATGGAGACCAGGCTTTGCTTCACCAGCGCAGAAGAGGCGCTGAGCTTTGCATCGGAGGTGGCTGAGCGCGCGCAGATGAAGAGCCTTGATCCAAGAGATAAGTGACCTGACGTAGGACCCGGAAGACCTGAGGTACACAGCTGGGATAGTCGAACTAGGGTCCTTCATCCTCTGTCAAAATTCGGGGCACAAAGCCGTGCATGGGGCGTGTTCGGCAGTCGCGATGGCTGCCTCTCTCGGGTTCGTGGAGGCTGGACTCGGATGGTGTCCAATCATTTCACTCGAATTCGCCAGATGTTTGGTGTTTTTCCCAGTGTGAAGAACTAATTGGGTGTGGGCGAAAAAGAACAGCGTTTGGGTTCCAAACCAGATCGTAGGGACGTTTGAGAACGTGTGTGTCAGTTTTCACGACTGCTTTCTTCACGGCTTGGAGCTCGAGTACAAGGCGGCCTGAAGGATATCCTCAAGGTTTCAGCTAGCAGGTCCAAAGGGGTTCCATCCATGGAGGAAGTCGGGGTGCCCCTGTCACGACCCCTGGATGGGACATGATGGGACTAAACAGCACCCCAGTCAGCACCCCATGATGTGACTCCTGGAGTATCAACTTTGGCCACTTTCTTTCGGCCAAGACGAGCCCTCACTCCGGTCACTCCGGTCCTGTACTCGGCAAAACCGGAGCGCCCCCTTTCAACCAGGGTATACCTGGAGTCGACCCGTTCGTACCTCGGAAAATGGATACAAGTACCTGTTTTTTAAATGGGGTCATGTCCCATTTTCTAAGGTACTGGGTCAGTCAGGTCCAGGTATCTAGGTTGACCTCCGACCTCGTTCCGTCCATTTTCGTCCCATGTTCGTCCGTCCGGTACTCCCGGTGCCTCCGACGCTTGGCTGAGGAGAGACATGTGGAAATTGGCCGATCAGGCGGAGTGTCCACCGAAGGTTTGGGGAGGACGACCGTGACGAAGAATTCTTCGTTCTACTTAAAGCAGGAAGCATTAGGGCATATATAGGACATAGGGCATAGGACAGGGGCCAGTTCAGATTCACTGGGACAAATGCCCCCCGCGTGAAAGGGTAAAATGGGTCACCCAATACCCCGACGAGGGGGTCGTCATGACGCATTACATGGCTGTAGCCGGACTCTCCCCAAGCAACCCGAGCGCCAGTTCCTTTTCAAGTGGCCGCCTCTCAACTTCCAACTTCGCCAGTGTTTGCAAAAGAAGGCGACCAATCCGTGGCTCTGGCAGCATCAAGTTCAAGGTCCACACCACACTGAAAAAGATGGAGCAGGAACCTCCTCTCATCCCGTGATCGGAAGATAAGGTCAACAAGGGGCGACTGAGTGGGCGACTCACCCTTGTGCCTGGGCACTGACATAACACATGGGCAACAAAGATGTCAGACATCTGGCAAAGCGGACAAAGTGGTAACGTGGCTGAACTGTGCTGACCACGCGGCCACAGACCCGTAAGCTTCACAAAGGCCCATACTAGAGCAAACTTCCAATCACTCACATCAAGTTCGGGGAGCAGCGCGCCAGCGCGAATGACCTAAGCGGTGTCGTCCCGCAAGAGTTCCGACTGTCAAGTGTTGGCCGGCTGCACGGTCGAGCCTCCTCCTCGTCACTCTTCTCCTACCGCTGGTAGGATGAAGGCAAACTGGTACTTACGAAGAACACATTTTACGGATTTCGGGGTCCATAACAGCACAGTGTCACAGCGCTCAATTCCGTCTAGAAGCCCTGACTCCTCAATGGTCGGTATAGGTACCGGAAACTGGCTCATTAAGCTGAGGACGGCCTGAGTCCACGTGTCATAGACACCCTTAGATATCCGGACCATAATTGCCGTTGGGTGGGCCGGTAGAAGTGACACCTTGGTCAAATAAAGGATCGCACGGCCAATTGCTTTGGACGCAAGTCGGAATTTCCACCCACACATAGCAACCGCCAAAGCTGCTCTGAAATCTAAAACCGACTGTGCATTCAGAATTGTCTTCGCCCAAAAACCTTGCAAGGCATTCAATTTGGGGAAAATGTCGCGCTTAAGAGGCAGCAGTTCACAAGCGTACAGTACAACCGGCTCAATTCTCTGGACAACAGCCTCAGCTACTACTGGTGGGAAACCACAGTCCTTAGCTAATGAGACTAGTTCAAGAAAAGGGGCATTGCCACAATTCACCAAAAAATTCTCACGGTCCTTGAAGGGCTTTTCGTTGACTTGTGGTCAACGAAGGTCAAACATCCACGCGTCCCGTGACCTCAGTTCTTTTTCATTCTTTTTCACTCGAATAAACGTCGGCGCTACTTCAGCGTCCCATCTCTCACAGACAATTCCGTTTCATCAGCTCAAACTTCTGTGCCTCGAGTGCGAGGCCAAAGAACTCCGCGAGTGCCTCAGCAGCACCACCTTCAGCAGCGATCGCTCCGCCCCGGCGCCGAAGGCGGCGCCGGAGGCGCAGGCGGCGCTGCGGGCCAGGTTGGCGGTGCCGAAGGGAGTTCCTTGGAGTGGTGACGTTCGGATGTTGGGGAGCTGTTGGGGGGAGCCGTTGGAGGTTGGGGAGATTTGTGAAACTTGAAATCTGGGGCGAAGGATGTTGGAAGAGCTATCATGAGAACATTTTGGAAGAAGCTCTTTGTGATGCTTGCCATTGGCATGTCAATGTTATGTATGGTTCGGGAACAAATAGGAGCGTTCAGTAAGATGTTGGAAGCAGACTGAGCAGACAATCCGCTATGATGGCAGCGAACTATATTGAAGATAGGCTCCTTTGTGAACCTAAATGTTTAACTCACTGGCAGATTGGTAGATTCAGAGTAGGTACAACACCACTTGGACCATGGAACCATGTCAGTCCACACCCATTTTGCCGTGTCTAAAGCTTTTAAGACATGGGATGACATGGGGATGAACAGATGTGTAGCTGAATCTCCTGGAGGTTCGTGCACGAACCTTTTCACCCATTCCCATACACTCCATGGGACTGCCATGTATGCTTACATTGACCCCCCAAACCACCCCAATGTAGGCACAAATGGCATACATGGAGAATCTTTGGGATTGACATTGCTGGGCTACGCAAGACTACAACGACCCTGGGCCTCGGTCAAAGGAAGCGATGAAAGGAGGATGATGCCCTCGAGATCTACTTCATGTAGACTCTTGATGAATAATCTTAAAATAACCCCTTCGCCCCCAGATTTCCGCGGATTTCAGGGTTGTCATCAAGAGTCATACATTAAACCTCGCACGGTGCTTCCCACCGCCGGTGATGTTGGTTTTCATGGTATCCAGCTGGAGGATGATGGCTGGGTGGGTACTCTTGGAAGAGATGGGGGCACCTAGTCTTTACACCACACACACAACTTGAAACTTCAAAAAACATGCCCGCAACGCACAACATCACAGCTTTACAATCTTTCAAACAAACACGTACTGCGGCCCTTAATTTTTCTTTACCTCTCAACCAAATTGCTTTCACCTATTTCACCATGTCTTCCACCTACTGCCGCCCCGGTCGTTTGTCCAAGGTACCGATGTACACCTTGTCTCCCTGCGCATCGGGTCACGACTTGCACGACGAGGTGCGCGAGTTCATCCCCGGTCCCAGGCACCCATTTCCGCGCGGATTCGGCGGTGGCGTGCGGCACGCGGAGGATGGTGGAGGGGGGGGACATGGGGGTGTCAATGAGGTCTATCTAGTCTATCTCAAGCAGGGCGGCCTTTTGAGATCCCCCAAAGGGGGCGGATGACAGGCGAACGAGTCAATTCTTTGGGCGGCTTCCTGATCAGTCCTGTCCAATTCACCCAATCCATGGTTTCGCTACCATCATGTTCCACCGGAAGAGTCGAAGTATGGCTGTAGTTTGACATCCCAAACAGTTCGAACCAGGGTCATCCAATGGGTGTCCAATAGACTACCCTACCGTACGTCAACAGGTCTCCAGACAGGGCACCCGGACAGGAAGTGCTAGGAAGGAATCTGTTCATTTTGCATCATTTTGCCATGTCGTGCCCAGGGTGCCATGGCCCACAGCTATGGGTGTTTCAGACCCCACGTGAGACATTTCAAGGATCGCCCATTGGGGCCCGGGTGGTGGGTGTTGGCGACATCGGCCAGCTGTTGACCAATCAAGGGCGACCTTGGAAAGCCTTCGTTGGGCCCATTCGGAATGCCTTCGTTCGTTCGAGAGAGAGAGAGAGAGAGACAGAGAGAGAAAGAGAGAGAGAGAGATGTTGAAATTGCACAAGTGTTGACATCCGAATTGCCAGACTTTTGCTGCCCTCCTTGCCGGCCCCTCGTCCCTCTGCAGGGCAGTGCCAGTGCCGAAGACGTCCTCGTGTGAAAGCTCAACGAAATCGTTGCCGAGGCCACATATCCCCAAGCCACGGGGAAGCAGCAAGGGATGGTGACGTCAAGAGATGTCCAGTTGGTTGGGCAGAACGCGATCTCCAAGCAACGAGATAGAAGTAGGATAATCAGGTTTATGGACAGGACCGGGGTTTAAGGACGGGTGCTGGGAAGAGAATCCTGCGTGAAAAGAGTGGTGAGCCAAATCTCAAGGTGGCGCTCCTTTTGGACTTTGCGAGTACTGATGAATTGAGATGGAGTCCGTGGAAGATTCAACATGGAATCCTTCTGGGCATGAATTATTGGGAAAGATTCCTGTGACACCATGACTAGTAACAAGAAGCTACGAACGGGGCTTGGCATCGAACCCAAACGGAGCGATCGGACGCTACGTGAGACGGGGGCTGGCATCTCTGAACCTTTTCGACCGCCCAGGGGCGAACGAGCCGGCACCATGTGCCGGCAAAACGCCGTGAAGATGTTACACAATGATCTTTCTTGGAGTGTGGAGCTAACTGCCAGATTTCCGAATGTGGGGTACCCAGACGCTCCATGTATGGAATATATATAGATATGCCTAAATTGACCCCCCTGGCACCACCCCAACTGATCGGCATGCATGGCAGTCCCATGGAGTGTCTGGGGTGTAGATGGAGCCAAGTCGACCCGAATCACTTTCCCATACATGGCATCCAACGACTGCCCATGGGGGATTGTCAATAAAGCGATCTGGTGTTTTCAGGACGTTCACATAGTTCACATGTGTTCATGCAATATGTCACGAACTACAGACACCGCTTTTCAGGTGCCATCAACTGTAGCCTGTCAGCCATTCCTTCCCCCTGTCATAATCGACAGGTGGCCCCGCTCTATTGGTATTGTCCCCACCGTTCATGGGATTGCTGTCACCCTTCAAAATCGGGTGACCAGGCAAATCCAGACACGACCCGTCGACGGGACTGCCATAGGCCATGGCTCTTGTTGTGCGTCAATGGGTCGGCAGTCCACCTTCCCTGGCACCACCCCAACTGATCGGCAGCCCCATAGCATGGGAAAGGGAGATCCACTCCTTTTCGGATCCAACAGCGGCACCCACCATCTGTGGGTCTCGGGTGCCGGCACCGAGGCTTCAGATCCAACGTGCCAACAGCTGCCCCTCCCCCGGGCGTGGCGGCTCGTCAACTCGTCGAGATGCCGTTCGGTCTGGGTGTCCTGGAGATCCCAAACCCTAGGGATCCAGTCGTACCTCCTCAGGTTCGGTACGACTGGACCCTCCAAACCCACATAACAGTGTCTCCCTGCTCACCTGAAAACAGAGGGTATGTGGATCCCCCCCAAAAAAGTAATGGTCTGGAGTCTGGAGGATCTCCAGCCAGGTGACTCAAGATCGGGATGGTCCAACGATCATCGAAGACAGGATGGGTGAAGTTGGGGGAACCGTGGACTTTGAAGAATGATTATCTGAAGCGGACTTTGGAGCACTGCCTCTTGATGTTATGTCCGATGTTTTGTCACGCTGATGGTTGGTTTGTCACTGTTTCTGATTCAAAAAGGAGGGCAAGGTTCGCTGAGGCAGATCTTGTTTGAAGTTTTTCTATTGGTGGCAATCTCAGAGGAGTCCGACCCACAATCAATCACATCTTCCAAAAAGCTCACACACACTTGCCAGCAAGATACACGACAATGCAGCCTGTGACTCCCAAGGCAAGCTGGCCCTACCTCCGCCGGCACCACATAACGACAGCGCGCACCGCTTGCGGAAGTATCGCAGCGAAGGTGAAGAGGAGAACGAGATGATACCCCACCCATCCCCACCCCCACCCCAAACCGGGGAGAGTGGACTGACGATCTTCGATCGTTGCACTGGGTGGTACAATAGGGCACTCTGCTGCCCCAGACCAAAAAGAGAACCTGTCAATCAAGCACATCGCTTTTCCGGCGCCGGGACGGCCCGGCTGCGTCCGTTTCGTCTTTTTTTCAGGAGACGCCGGTGTCGCCCAGCGACCCGAACAGCTTCGCGTCGAAGGTCTTCATGGGCCTGGGCACCTCGGACGCACCTGGCTCCCAAGAGGGGTTGAAGAACACTAGTAGCGCTAGCCTCCAACCTACTAGCGATGGCCTCCAACCTAATAGCGATGGCCTCCAAACCTAAGTGCGATGGCCTCCCTATAACAGGAGTGGTTTGGCTCGCCCGCACCCCGACTTCCTCCATGGATAGCACCCCGTCTTGTGACTCGAATTTGCTCCGGTCCTCAGAAGTTCGAAGAGTTCCTTCTTTAGGATCAACAACTCTTCCAGTCGGACGACGCAACAAGATCAACAACTCTTCCAGTCGGAGCCAGATGGTCTGTTGACAGGGATGAAAGAAGCCCAAGAGGGTTTTGCATTTTGATGGGAGGAGGGGGGGAGGTGGAGCCAGGGGACATCTAGTTGGTTTGGGATACCTTAAGACCTGGTATTGGGCAAACATCTCGCCTATAGGTAGACTTGAAAAAGGGATGTGAGGGACATCATCAGTGATCCACGGTTTCTGAAAAAGACTCTTCCACTATGACTGACTAAACCAGTTACACCCCATTTGCTTGATTTCCACGCAAAGAAATGCTCTCTCATAGATTGCACCAGGAGTGGTGCCCCCTGCATGGCCAAACGGACCCTGTGGATTCCCTTTGTACCCATTCCCTTCCGGGGTCCGCTTCGACGCCCAGGATTGCACGCGGCCAAAGCGTCCCTGGTCGCCGAGAAGCGAGTGGACGTTTTGAAGACGAAGTTTGAATCCAGCAAGCGCTGCTCGGAGCGTGTTTGGGGGGTTTAGTTTAGCGCCAGGCGCAAGCAGTCGACTCACTTCTTGAATTCTAGAACTGATCCGAAGCAGCTTTGATCATTACACCCCTAGAGCTTTAAACGTTTGGTATGTGCGTCTGGAGGTTTTGGAATGACCACGAGGATCTCAGGTTCAGTGTGCTTCTCCTGAGTCTTGAGTCGGCTCGGATCGCTTCGCCGGATGTCTTCGGACGCGGGTGGGAAGGATTGTGGAGACGAAGAAGACCTTCAACTGAACTACTTGTCACCTTTCTGTCTCTTTGCCTTGAGTGATCTATACCTTTTTTAAGTACATTATAGCTGAACGTCTATGGATTTCAGCAACGACTGGACCAGCGCAGCGCCACAACTCGTGCTATTTATATCGCACTTTCGTTCGCCGGAGAAGAACCTCCTTCGACGTTTCATCCAGCTGTGGTTCAGATCTGGATGGTCAATGATGGTCTGTATTTGGTTGAAAGGACTGCAGCAAAGTACTAAATCGATCTAAACCAGCAGTACGACTACCGGGTGTCCGGGGGCGTCCATGAACCACCTCTAGTTCCGGCTGGGGGGTCGAAGGGTTTAGGGTTTTCGTTGAACAGCTGCGGCAGGGCTTGGGAGCGACTATACTATAGCCCCTGCCGAACCAGACCGGCCGTGGGACTGAGCTGCCCACTGCCCCGTCAAGAAACCCTGGACGATCGTTACCGAAAAGGACCGGCGAAGGATTGGGCGTTGGGCGTGGGCGTCTCGTGGACATGCACGGAGTTTTCTGCTCGGAGCCCTCCACTACAGCTGCCACCCGAGGCTCGTCAGGTTGCAGCTCCTCCCCTGCTATTTGAGGCATCAGATTCTGCACAAATTGGGAGCAGCGCGGACGAAGTGTGTGAGGAAATTGACATATACTAAGGCACTTGTTTCTAATAGCTTCTTGTTACTACTAGTAAGGCACCTGTTACTACTAGCGTGGCACTTGTTACTACTAAGAGACTTAATAGATGGGACCCTTTTTGACTTCATTAGAACCCTGAATGCCTGGCGACGAACTCGCGTTCGTGATGGGGTTTCCGCCCGGGCGTTCAGCGATGCTCCAAGTTGGTTTGAATTGAGCACCGTGATGGTCTCACCAACATTGCCCGCGATCATGAAATCATGATCAGGATCTTCAGTTGCGGTTCACACTTTCACACATATTCATTATTTGCAATCAAAAAGCAACAACTATCAAGAAGAGATGTAGCATAATCGCTGGTCCCAGGCCATGAGAAGCACTTGTTTTTGGGGTTCCACTCTTTTGACTTCGGCAATTAGATGCTGTGGGAAGGCGGCCCACCTTCAATCTAGCACCAGGTGCACTGGATGGACTATGAATGACTCATGCATGATTATTTACTAGTCATAGTGACATTTGACATCTCCATCCATCCTGGTTTAAACAGCCATAAGCAGCAGGAACGGGCAGGAACTTTGCATGTTGCTCAGGATATCATGCTGCTTTGACCTCCGGCAATGTTGGGTCTCACTTTCAGGGTTTTTAGACTTGAAGGCCCAGAGCGCAGGACCCCTCCATTTTTAGACTCTCGGTGATGCCGTGTGTCCGGAGGGCGGAAGATGCCGATCGCGGACGCAGGAACTCGCGATCCGTGCATGGCTTGGCTTCGCATCGTTGAGGGTGGGAGAGACATTTGAACAGTTGTGTGGCACTTAAAAATACTCAAAAGAGATCATGATTGATATACTCTAATCATGATAAAGGCTCCAGCACAACATTGGGAGCCATTGATTTCATCCATGTTGAACGTCACCGACATTGTCTTGCATAAAGGTTCTTATTTTGCGTCTGAGTTGAAACTGCTGCAACTTCCCTTCTTTAGGCGATGTGAAGGCTACTCTCTCCGCGCTCACTTTTCTGTGCCATTCTGGGTCCCTTCGAATGAGTACGCTGGTTGCTGAAACACCAGCTGTTTCAGCTTCTCTTTTAAGTTCAGGGCGACCGGTCAGAGGTTGAATGGATGCGGCTCAACTTGCGCAATCAAACTGACATGCACATTGATCATCCGCGGATGATTGGATTGAAGGGATCAGCTCCATTCCTCACGGGCCCATCATTGAGCCATGTCTGTGTCGACGGGGCCACGCCGAACCCACCCGGCGAACATCCGGTCGCCCCGGTCTCGACGCGCCACTGACTTGCGTGGTTTCAGAGATTTGATCGTATTCTCTTATTTCTATTCTTCTATACCTTTACCATCCTTTACCTGGACCCGACTTCAAGTACGGACATGACCCCATTAAAAAGAAAAAAAAAAAAGCAGGTACTCGTAGGCATTTTCAGAGGTACGAACGGGCCGACTCCAGGTATACCTGGGATGATTGAACCCACCTGACTATTGGTCGAGTTGAAACCACCAACCCAGCGACGGGGTTTTCTGCTGTCGCTCAACGCCTCTCGCGGTCGCGTTCTCCTCGCCTCCCGGGCGCAGCAGCGGTCCAGCGAGCGAAGAAAGACGCAGGTCCCGCAGGTCCGACTTGGGGTCCCAACTGGGGGGATCACATCGGGATTGGTTTGGATCTGCAACACACCAATCCAAAGTAACAACTCTCGGTTTGGATCGGTCACCACACCAATCCATAACTTTGATATAAACCTTAAGCTGAGACCTCCCCACAGCAATCCATCATGGAAACGAGAGCATGGCGTCGCCGACACATCGGGTTCCCAACTAAGATTTTGTCCAAATCTCAAAAAAACAAACCTCAAATCATCATTGGTTTCTTCTCTGGTTCCATTTGGAATCATCCACTCGATGATGGAGAAGCGAAGCGTAGCTGGCCCGTGCCGCTTGAGCTTCATGTCATGGTTTCATCAGGGTTTCATCGCTGTTCATTCATTGCCCAAATGCTCCATGTATGCCGTAGATGCTGCCAGGGGGGTCAATGTAGGCATAATATATTCCATGTACATGGAGCGTCTGGGTCTATCCTATAGTGGATGAAGGGTGACCTGTGTCGTCCAGGTGGATGAAGTCGCTCACCGAACACCCGGAAAAGCCCAGACCGAAGTCTGAGTTGAACTCTGAGTGACGAAAGTGGAGGATCCCCTGTTTGTAGACGAATATATTGTGTTTATATTGTTTTTCAGGGGCCATGCCATCCACTTCCATTCCAAAACCACAGCCCTCCGTCTCCCTCATCCGAAATCTTTGCCATGTCTCCTGTCTCGGCACCGGCGGCTGTCAGGCGGCTGTCAGTGTGCCAGCCACCGGCTCCAAACTCGCCCGGAAGGTGCGGCGCCGTGGTGCGGAGACCGCGGAGACCTCGCGCGGAGTCGGAGGTCGATGCCAACACTGCCAGAAGGAGGGTCCAACCGGACCAGGTTTTACAGTCCGACTTCTGAGGGTGGGGGAAGTGAACCGATCATCTATAACCACCACCCAGTAAACTGGGTGGTTTAGAGACACCCCCGGACCCACATGTGTTTGCCCTACTTCCATCCGAACAGGGTGGTGGAAGTCACTGAATTCGAGAACTTGATCGGAGTTGATCCCTCGGTTCCACTAATAATGTAGACTCTTGAGTAATAACCCCAGCCATTTGAATTGAACATCCTCTTAGTATGGGGGGTGTAATAATCAAGAGTCTACATTAGCCAGAGTCAGAACACTGAACATCACTGATGGATAGACGACCGGTGTTCCTGATTGGATGACGATCATTTTTCACGATCCCCAGGTCATTACTCTTCTCAGTGGTGCAAAAAGCAACCTCTGATAACTATATAAGCCAAGTCCTTAGTAAACTATAAAAGTACCTCGACCTTTGATCTGGCCAACTTTATGCCACCCCTAGGCGTTTGGTGGCTTCAAGACTTGCATAGGGTATGACTAAAGGATTGATGCAACATATCGATCTCTTTCATACACGTGGCAAAGTACATTTCTGCACCATATATTTGACCAACAGATGCCAAGAGCAAGCGACTGCCTTGGTTCTTGGCATGCCAACCACGTGCTCAACCACCGTGTTCAGAGCACTGATAGTTCTTCAACCAGCTTCAGCGACTTTCCCTTTCAGATTGAACCATCAGATCACCTCCGGGTCGATCCAACGTCTCGCAGGTTCCTCCACGTGGAGGACGGAAGGCGGCGACTGTCGGGAAGCCGACGACGACGAGAGGGCGGGAGGGGAGGTGAAGATGGACGACGGCAGAAGGCGTTGGTGATGTGAGCAGTTCTGAGAAATCAGACAAACGCAACAAAGCGTTCAGAGTATTATAAAGTGAAACAACAACACAAAAATGACATCACACATGTTGGCTATTTAGCTTCGCCCATTCTGTGACATCCCAGCAAACTCACGTCACCCTCCGGGACATCGGAACACGCCACGGTCCTTCGTTTCGTTGCGGTCCTTCGACCGTGCACCTTCGACGCACCGAGGCTTGGTCCCAGATTTGCGCGGCTGCTCGGTGCAAGACTTGGCCGCTCGGTGGACGAACGTTGCCATGCCGGTCACACCGTCACTCCGTCACTCGGTTCCGGGTGAAATGGAGACATGGAGACCTGGAAGTGGGGTAGGGTAGTCTAGCACCTGGTGTGCTGTTCTCTGTGTTTGGGAGAACCAGTTAACTGAATTCTGTGGTCGCAGATAGCTGTGACAAAGTTGTGGATGTCGATCGTCTTGCTGCCTGAAGTACTTCTTCGGGCAAAATGCCCACCCCAGACTGGAAGATGATTCCACCTTTTTTGATCTTCTATGGCCATGAAAAGCATCCAAGGCATTGGCTCGAACGCCTGAAACGCACCGCTGGAACCCGTAGTTTGATTGTGAATGCAATTAGGATTCAGGTCCAAACCAGTCATCACTACTAATCCCAGACCATCCATGGGACTGGAATATACTATTAATTGATATACTTATACATTGGGGTCACAACCGAGGTAAATGTAGGTGGCTGTTCCAGTCCCATGGCCGGTCTGGGAATTCCAAGTTTTTACGATCAACAGCCACGCAGGGTCGCAGGCTGGGCGATGAAACCATATCAAACCTCGTACACTCCGACGAACACACCATGGAAGTGGAGTGAACGCCACAGCCATCATTGGTATTCGCAACCGTCGTCTTCCAAATGGCCCATGCCATGGCACTTCCAGAATGATTCCTGGCTAAGCCATGATTCCATGATTACTGATAACCCATATCTCTCAAGGGAGGTCATTAAAATATAGCATGGTAAGCAGATGTAACCAGTAAACCCATGTAAACCCGTCTTCCTTTCGTCTTCCGCGCCATCCGGGCCGTCTCGGACGCCGCGTGACCTGCAGGTGCCCAACGCCCGGATCTATAGCCGCCTACAGGTTGGGCGGTGGCCAGTGGCCGGAAAGGTGGGAAGAGGTGGGGAAGGTCTGATGTTTCAGAATTGGGAAGGTCTGATGGTTCATTGGCGGGCAAGCTGTTTTTTTGGGGGAAGACTGTAGATGTTCCTCAAAAAACAATTCCTGCAATCTGGGGGTGGCGTGCATTTCGAAGTCCGCCAAAAATAGTCAAGAACTGGAGTTGAAGCTCAGGGACCATAGCTGAAGCTCAGGTCTATGACTTGGATTCTCAAGCTGAGTCACCGATGGTCTGTTTCCGATTGGGGAGTGCCCAGAAACACCCCGGAGCCGAAAAGCCCTGCAGGTTCGACCCACAGCCGGTCGGGAAACACCCACGGTGTCAACCCACCGCCATGTTTGAGGGTCGAAAGACCAGCCATCTTGGAGATTCCTGGCTTTCAGATGAGTCTTGAACGATCCACTGATCGTTTTTTCACATGCGTCGATTCTGGAGTCGATGCTCCCTTTTTTGCGCCCAATGGGAGATGAGCTTCTTACTTTTCCCCCCGTACATGCCATGGGTTT